GAAGAGACATGCCTTTAGGATCTCGATTCATGCCTTGAGACGTTAGCGACCAGTGTGCTGGGTTTAGGGCAAGACCTAGGTTTACTTTCGGATTGAGGCTATGCGATGACTAGTCGGCTTTCGTTTTGCCTGTTGCGATTTTAACCTGATTCCATACCGATTTAGAATCCGCGATAGGTTCTCGGCTTATACGATTCGTGTGGTTGGAACCGAGCATCTCACCGGGAACAATTTCGAAGTTGCCCGGAAGTGCTGACCAAAAGTTTGGATTTCTTTTATAGCGCTATTACCCTTGTGTCGGGTGTTCGAGAGCTATCTCTGCGAGATAACTTAAGTTTGTTTAGGACTGTTGCGAGTTCGTTCTGTCAGAAACGAATTATTTTTAAGTGTAGATGATTACGTAGTTTGGGCCTTCGTGAAGGATACGTACGTTAAGAAGTTTTGCGTATTTTATAGTCGCGAACGGACTGTTAGGTCTTCCAAGAAAATGAATTTATCGAGGAAGGTATTTGTGTCGAAAAACTAATCTCCGGGCGTTTGCGACGTCTCGCAGTGCCGAAAGTTGGTTTTTATTTTATATGCCGCGTTTCGTGTTCGGAACGTATGCGGGCTCGAAGATGTTGCGCAGGTTTTGTCTTAACCCTGCTTTGCAGGAACACCTTGGTTCGTTTGCAGATATTCGCAATTAAAACTTACATTTCTGTTTGGATGTTAGGTAGTTTTATGAGTTGTGCTAGAGCAATTAGGACCGAGAGGTCGCGTAAGTTGTTTCCCTGAAACGAAGCGTTTTTTCGTTACGGTGCTTTGTGAAGTGTTGACCTTCTGAGATTCGTACGGCTTTAGGAGCTCTGGTACGAATGTTTTCTTATACGTCGGATTTTGTAGGCAACTTTCTTCGGAAATAGAGTGAATCGCGAGAATACAGAACTTAGCCGATTTTCGACAAGGTCGTATTTGGTACAGGATTAGACCACGACACTTTCGTGCTATCAAAAAGGTCGAGTCGGTTTGTAAACTTGGCATTGAAGTGAAGCGTGATCGGACAATAGCCAAGTAACGTTTGTCGAGCTTGATATGCCAAGTATGCCCGTGGTTGTAGAAAATGTTTTTCCGTTGTAGGTTTGATTTATACAATGAAATTTTCGTATAAACTTTCCTTTGTATGGAAGTTTTTTTTCTTTTTTTTTTTTTTACTCGAGGGAGACAGAGCCTAAGAAGCTCGATGTAGATCCCATGCGGCGTCGTTTTCGGGACGGTCTCATTCTCGGATGAATCGGGAGGAATGAGAGCGGATGCTCATGAACCAAAGGGCTAAAAATGAAATATTTCAGATCGTGGCGTGAGGAAGCAAAGTTTATATTGGTCGCTCAGCGCTGGATTGTATAGCTTGGTTTTGCTGTAAGGAAAGTACTTTTTGCAGTACCTGTTATGTTTACTTTCGTAAGTTACTTCGTTATGACATGATCCTAACTATACGAAGGATTTTTCGTGTAAGTAATGGGCGATGAATTTAGTAAATCAGCACGACGCATTGGGTTAACAATGTTTCCGCAGATTTTTCGAGAAACCTTTCCGCTTAGTTTTTGATCTTTGGTGATGGTTTTTTCAGAGTCAATCGCGGAGTTTTACCAAAAATTATTTCACCGAGATCTAGTCGCAAAATGTTTTAGCGGGTTTCTCGGACGGAATGAATCACATGACCAGCAATAGGATCAGTCGGCGAGAAGGGAGGACGTGTTCTCTACTGCTGCTTTAAGTTCTCTATTTTATTCCGTGACTCATTTGGTTTGACGGAGAACGAGATCAATGCTTTGACGCCTGAATATTTCTCGTATAATTTTTCGATTCTTATACGGAACTTGTTTTACCAAGTTGGAGAAGATCTTTATAACTTCGGCAAATTATTGAGTTTCACTCTGAAGTTTCGCAGAGATTTTTTAACCGCATGGTTGCGACGAGAGATGCTGTATAGTCCTCGAGATTATTTCCCAGACGTTTTGGATCAGTTTTTAGCGTTTAGACGGTTCTTAGATTGTCGTTTGCTTTTGGGATGATTTTGACGAGGCGTCGCATTGTCCGAATATTTTTCTGCTTGTTTTGGCGAGAGTTTGCTTTATAGAAAGCGTTTTCTCGACGCGAGGGAAAATATTTGACGAAAAGAAAAAAGACGAGTTTCCTTTGAAGGATTCGGATGATCGATAATCCGGGTTGGTTAAAGACTGTGGTAGATTGGCGATGACTTGGAGTATGTCTGGTTTACGAAAATTTCTAGGAGCGAGTCGGTTTTAAGACGACGTCAGCGTCTCTAGCTCCTTCTTTCTTTTAGAAAATGAGTACGTTCGAATGCGTGGCGATCGTTTCTCGGTTGTACGAGAGATTGGATCGGTTTGCGAGTTATGCCCGAATGGTTAGAGAACAACAAATCGGGATAGACAAATATTGCCTATGACTTAGCATGCTAGACTATCCTCTAAATTCTAAGTTCTCTAGGTTTCACGGCAGTTTACAAGACGTTTTCGTTTCTTACCTACGAGAAATTAGAAGTCTAAAAAAAATTTCAACTCGGACATACCTTAGTTTCGTCGATGATTTGGGATCGTCTATTCTCATTCTTCGTCTTTTGACTTACCGGTCTTCGATGAATTACCAGCATGAGTATCGGAGCGGGGACAAGACTTAACCATCGGAGCTCATGTTCTTGTTTCTTCGTACTGCTGGTTTTATTTGACCGACTAGGTGCGCTTTGTATATCGAAAAAATCAATCACGTGTTTATGATTGGATATTTTCGACTTAGTGTGGCAGAGTTTAGAAAAACCGGATTGGGTTTAGAGAGTTAAGATTTCTCGTATAGTTTAGGCAAATTTGGTGTTAAGTCAACCGTTTCCGTTTTAGATGATTGATTTGAACTTATACGAAGAAACAAGTCTTTGGGGTTTTATCGTAAAATCCCGATGGAAATTCCGGTTGAGACAAAACAAGAATCAGCGCGGTCAAGACTCGAGAGAGAAACTCAAGGATTGGTTTAGCTTCGACGTAGGGCAAGTCGGGTGAACCCTTTCAGCTCGACGTGTGGCGATCTGGATGGTAAGAACCCTTGGGGTAAAGTCAGCGTCTCTTGGGTGAGCTAGATGCTTGGTTCAGCTCGCCGTATGGCGATCTAGCTAGCTCTATGTTTCGGCGAGCTAAGACGCTTGGTTTAGCTCTACGTTTGGCGAGCTAAGACGCTTGGCGCGGGTGATCTCGATTTTGAGGTACTTAAGAGAACCCCATGGCCAAGGTGTGTGGATGGCTTGCAATGGGAGCACTGAGGTAGTAGGATATTGTTATGCTGATTGGACATGAGATAGGGTTGATAGGAGATCGACCACATGCTACTGCACCTTCACTGGAGGCAATCTGGTTACATAAGGTGATTTTTCATGCTCTGGTACTGAGGCAGAATATAGATCCATGAGGAAGCTAACAAGTGAACTCATAAGGATCAAATAACTGCTAAAGGATTTAGGCATTGAGATCAACACACCAATGACTATGCATTGTGACAATCAAGCGGCCATGCACATTGCATCCAATTCAGTCTTTCATGAGAGAACCAAACACATATAAGTGGACTACCATAAGGTGAGACAAGCAGTGGAACAACAAGTGATTCTCTCATGCTATACTAGAAGTGAAGATCAACTAGCTGACATCTTCACTAAGGCGGCCAGTAGCAAGGTTTGTAAGTTCATTCATCCTAGACTTGGACTCATAGACCTCTCATGTCACTGATCTCCTCTCCATGGAGTATTCTACTCTTTCCTTGCCTAGCTTTTATCCCAATGATTTTTGCTAAGTAAGGTTTTAATAAGAGAATGCTTCATGGTTTTCCAAACTTGATATATTCCATATTATCAAGCTTGAGAGGGAGGGTGAACATGAAGCAAATAAAGATGATCAAAGGATGATTACATTCGGATGTGTTAAGGAAAGGCTTGATCCGTACAAGACTTGTGAAGCAAGTATGTCCGTACAAGTATGGAAAGGCTCTCTCCTCACTCTCTCTCTTGTTCTTGGTCGAATTTCTCCTCATTCTCATAATACAAAATCTAGATCTCTATATTCTTTCACTTTCTTCCTCAATGGAGTAGAACACGGAACCAGTGGACATTCTGAACATTAGGAAATATGCTATTGATCAGCAACCTGAGGTGTTAGTTAAATGGTCGCGACTTCATGAGTTTGAGTGTTCATGGAAACCATTGAAGCGTTTGGCTGAGCAGTTTTCAGTCTTTCAGCTTGAGTACAAGCTGGGTCTTCTTCGGGAAGATATTAATAAGCTAACAGTGCCATTGACGTTTGTCAGAAGAAGCAGAGGTACGAAAATTTCAAATACAATGGCTAAGTGTGAGAAGTGGAGAAAGAAGGAGAAGACTCCTCTAAGACAGGTCTAGTAGTCTGCTTTAATATCGAGTTGCAAACATTGGAAGGTTATCATAATTGATCATTAGAAAAATCTTATCTTCTCTCTTTCTTCTATTGTCTCTCTCACATTTCTTGTTACACGGTTAAGCTCAAAGCTTAACAAGTGGAGATTCATCCAGGAGTAATCAAAATTCTTGTGAGAAGAAACGGGTCTTCGTCTCTGGGTATGTCGCTATGAGCTTGATCTTGACGTGTGGTGTTTCAGGCTACCATAATCAACTAGGCCTGATGCTGAATTGCGATGGAGAGTTCATAGTTACAGTGCAGGAAGATGGAGCACGAAGGTAGAGTTTTACTAGAATGTAGTAGCAGGGTAGTGCTTGTACAGTAACAATATCTACTTCTTGTAATATAATGTGTCTGAAACATAAAATTGCATGAAACTGTCAATCTTTTAATCTAATGTCATTAAGAAAGTGACTACAGAGGAACATGGCATGAAAATCTGAAACAGCTTTCAAGAGTTTAGCCTTATGGAACACAATACTTATGAGAACCAAATAGCATTTTTAGAAATAGAACCCTTTGAGAGAGGCGAACTTATTGAGGATCTCTTCATCGCATTTAATAGCATTTTCTTTCTTCATCTCCCATTCGGGTTTCTTCGAGTTAGCTGCTTGAACTTCTTGCACCACTTTAGGAATCGAGTTCGCTACCATCTTATGGCCATAGCTCAGATCAACCTTCTCTTTCTCCTTTTTACTGATGCAACGCGTCAGCTCAGTGCATCTAGCTTGAAGCTGGGCGATTTCCTCATCAATTTGACGGATTGTTTCAGAGTTTGTATCCACTTCTGTCTGAATATTGCCTAGTTTGTCTTTTAAATAACTGTACTTGTATTTGAGAGAAGCGACTTTGGCTTTGTTAAGCTCAAGAGAAGAGAAGAACCTGTCAGCGTCCACTATCACGTTCTTGTTCACCTGAAACTCTTCGCTGAAAGTTGGGATCCCTTCGAGAAGCTTCAACCTCACTATCTCTTCAGCTAAGAGGCTTGGATCTTTCTTCAGTTGTGTTGCCAAGCTTGCTAGCTCCGCAGCTTCATTAGACATGACCAAGGAAGAGAAGTCTTTGTCGAGAAGCGAAGAAAGCTTCATCCGAGCTTCCGCCCATTCATATTTTTTCATTGGAGAGCTTGCACTGACAGGAAGAGAAGAAGAAGACTCCTGTCCTGCTTCTGAAGGCTGCTGCTGAAGAAGATTTTCCAGAGTGTTCAGATGACTGTCAAACTCCTCAGGGTTAATCTCCACAGGGGAGTGGGAGACCACTAGGACTCCGTTCATAGGAGAAACATAGACATGAGGAATGGGAGCATCTTCTTCTTTCTCTGCAGCGTTACCTCTGCGTTTCTTTATTTTCTTGCAAGGTTTTGTTGCAGCTGCATCGTTCTCTTCTTCTTCCAAGTCAACCACATCGTATTGTTTCTGTCTTTTGGAGCGTCTCGAAGAGGATGGCTTGGCTGGACTTGTAGCAGCTTCTTTTTTTTCCTGCCACTAGCTCGTGGAGTTGCTTTAGGTTTAACTTTAACAAGTTCATAAGTCTGTGTCTGCACCTGTTTTCTCTTCCTCTGGCTGTAACGCAAAGTTGAACCTTCGTTCTCAATATTCTGATAATTTTGTACTTATCTTCTACTCTAGATCACCTGTAAAAGTAATCACACACACTGCAAACTTGAATCTCAAACAATAACAACTCCGATTATCAAGGGAAATCCCAATCTGAATAAAAATCACTCAAGGTTTCACTGAGAAGCTACGATCTCATCACGATCGTAGGGAAGGTCTCATAACGACACTTCACAACAAACTCAGCATAAAAAAAGAATCTCTCAAACAACAAACGTATTTATTCGAAAGTAAAAATATCTGAGGCAAAGCCTCCGTCTCATCCCTCGGCTTTGCTCTCCTCCTGTTGTCCCAAACCTTCTAAGTCAACCCGAGTCTTTGACTTCTCTGTTTCTTCTCCCATACGTTCCAATTGAGTTGTTTCTCCCGCCTCAATTCTTTTATTCTTCTCCGAACTCCTCTTCCGAAAGTACACACGTTGGAACCTATCAGTACCCCGCCCAACGAGACGAAGCTTGTCCTCAAGCGGAAATGTAAGAAATTGACGAGCAAACTCCCACCCTAACACCCAAGACGGTTCGTGAGCTGGTAAGCTTTCCCATTGCACCAACAGCTCCAAATAACCACCAGGTGTGTAACGAATGTCCAGCAGTTGATCAGGAACCAAAATGAATTCCCCTTGATCAGAAAACGTCGTTGGCAAAGGAGTCACCTGCTCTGCAGTCCCCACCACAGGTTTTAATTGAGAGACGTGGAAAACCGGATGCACACGAGAACCCACCGGTAACTGCAGACGGTAAGCGACCTTACCAATACGTTCCAATACTTCAAAATGGCCATAAAACTTAGCGGCAAGCTTTTGACACACACGCCGAGTCACAGAATGCTGTTGATAAGGACGTAATTTGAGGAAAACCTTCTCACAAACAGAAAATTCTACATCATGCCGGTGTCTATCCGTAGAACTTTCATAGCCTCCTGTGCTTTACTCAAAAATGACTTAAGTTGAACCAACATCCTATTTCTCTCCACCAGCATAGCTTCCAAGTCAAAGTTGGACGTAGACCCGTTCTCAAAATGCAACAAGGAGCGAGGCTCACGGCCATAGACCACCTTGAAGGGTGTAGTGTGAATAGCGGTATGGTAACTGGTATTATACCAGAATTCAGCCCAACTCAGAAACTTGTACCATGTCTTCGGATGAGCCGATGCAAAGCACCGAAGATAAGTCTCCAGACATCGGTTCAAGACCTCAGTCTGGCCGTCAGTTTACGGGTGAAACGCCGTGCTGTACTTCTACTGCGTACCAGAACAGCGAAAGCACTCCTTCCAAAAGGAACTGAGGAACACTTTGTCCCGATCAGAGACAATAGAAGTAGGAAACCCATGAAGTTTAACTACCTCAGCAATGAACTTTGTAGCGACGTGACAAGCAGAATATGGATGTTTGAGACCAAAGAAGTGTCCATATTTGCTGAGACGGTCCACCATGACAAAGATCACGTTATACCCCGACGAAGCAGGCAATCCATCGATGAATTCCATGCTAATGTCTTGCCACACTTGCGAAGGAATAGGAAGGGGTTGCAGGATCCAGATGGGGAAAGAGTAGAGGTTTTGTGTGTTTGGCACACCACACAATATATTCCTGAACCATTTGGCGCATTCCCTTCCATTGAAACGATTGTTGAATCCTCTTGAGTGTCTTTAAAACTCTAGAATGCCCACCAGAAAAACTATCATGGCACTTCGAAGAATCAAAGGCACAAAACAAGAGTTACATGGAATCAACAAACGCTTCTTATACCACAGCTTGCCATCAATGACAGAGGAGCCTTTCTTCACAGGCTTTCCGGCTGTCACTCGTTGCTTAAGAGCCTGAAGGTCGCGTGTTCGATCCACGCTCACCGCACCAATTTGATAAGTTTGTACTTATCTTCTTCTCTAGATCACCTGTAAAAGTAATCACACACACTGCAAACTTGAATCTCAAACAATAACAACTCTGATTATCAAGGGAAATCCCAATCTGAACACAAATCACTCAAGGTTTCACTGAGAAGCTACGATCTCATCACGATCGTAGGGAAGTCTCATAACGACACTTCACAATAAACTCAGCATAAAAAAGGAATCTATCATATTCTTTTATTCTTCTCCGAACTCCTCTTCCGAAAGTACACACATTGGAACCTATCATATTCTCACCGTCTTTGGATATCTCTTCAAACAGAGATGCAGCATCAACTACATAAGAACCAAACATCATTAATATGCGAGCAGTTTAGACCTTTCTTACAAAGGGCTTTAACTAACCTCTATCCGCGGGTTGAAACAAAGCTGGGATGTTCCAGCTAAAAGATGCGAAAAAGGCATTGACATCCATATCAGGGAAATTTGTCTCTAGATAACGAGAAAGGGTGTTTTTGCTAGCAAATGACTTTGGTGCATTCTTCATCTTAATCCTCTCGGGGAGAATCAGAAACCTATCCTTGTGAAACCCAGTAGCACTCACTCTCCTCCCAACTCTCCACGTCTATACATCACCGGGGCTTGGGAAATCAGTAGGCGCAAAGGGCAAACCTTGACCGTTAGAAACCGGTTGAATCGCTGGGAGATGGTTCAGATCCGTTTCACCATTAGTGAAGGAGCTTCTGTTACCATGATCATCACCATCTTCTCCTCTGTTGAACAATGCATTCTCCCAAAAGTTGTCTTTCTCAGGGACTGAGACTGGTTCAGTCTCTTGGTTACTGCCTGGGACTTGTTTACCATCAAATCTGTGCAGGTTCGGAAAATAGAAACAAACAAAACATAAGCACAAACAAGATGACAAAGCTGATCATGTCTCAATTGAACACACAATACCTACTAATTTCATAGAATCAGAGTTTACAAACCTCATTACGCAACTGTGAGTAACGTATCTCGAATTAAGACTTACCCTTGAGGAACAAGTAAACAAACAATAGCAACAAAACATGATGAAATTTAGAAACACTTTTTGGAGAAAAAAAGTTCGAACTTATGCCCTTGAGTTGGGTTAAAGACTGTGCTAGATTATCATTATGCCCTTGAGTTGGGTTAAAGACTTAAAATAAAAAAAATTAACAAAATGCCACTGAGCGGTGCAAATAAATGAGACTTTACTGTTCGCCGGCGTGAGTTGTTGTTATGACACCGCACACGGCGAACGCTCTGGGGTCACTTCTCAAGAATGCAATCTCCACGAGCTCCACGCGTCTGGGTCGCGTCGTCCACGCGCGAATCGTCAAGACCCTCGACTCGCCTCCTCCTCCGTTCCTCGCAAACTACCTCATCAACATGTACTCGAGACTCGACCATCCCGACTCGGCGAGGCTCGTTCTCCGCCTCACTCCTTCCCGAAACGTCGTCTCTTGGACGTCACTCGTATCCGGGCTTGTTCAAAGTGGTCATTTCTCCTTAGCCTTGTTTGAGTTCTTCGAAATGCGACGAGAAGGTGTTTCCCCGAACGACTTCACTTTCCCTTGCGCCTTCAAAGCCGCGGCTTCGTTGCGAGCGCCCGTTACTGGGAAGCAGATCCATGCGCTTGCTCTCAAGTGTGGACGGATACTTGATGTGTTTGTTGGATGTAGTGCTTTTGATATGTACTGTAAGAGTAAGCTCAGGGATCATGCTCGGAAGTTGTTCGATGAAATTCCTGATAGGAATCTTGAAACTTGGAATGCTTATATATCTAACTCTGTCACTGATGGATTGCCTAGGGAAGCTATTGGAGCTTTTATTGATTTTAGAAAGATTGGTGGACACCCCAATTCGATAACTTTTTGCGCTTTCCTTAATGCTTGCTCTGATGCGTTGTTGCTGAATCCAGGTGAGCAGTTGCATGGGCTTGTGTTTTGTAGTGGGTTTGATAGAGATGTATCCGTGTGTAATGGGTTGATTGATTTTTATGGAAAGTGTAAGAAGATTCGCTCTAGTGAGATTGTTTTTGCTGAAATGGGGACGAGAAATGCGGTTTCTTGGTGTTCCCTGGTGGCTGCGTATGTGCAGAATCACGAAGATGAGAAGGCGTCTTTGTTGTTTCTACGTTCAAGGAAGGAAATTGTTGAGACTTCTGATTTTATGATCTCAAGCACTCTGAGTGCATGTGCTGGTATGGCAGGTCTTGAGTTGGGGAGATCGGTACATGCTCACGCTGTGAAAGCTTGCGTTGAAAGGACTATCTTTGTGGGAAGTGCACTCGTTGATATGTATGGGAAATGCGGATGTATAGAGGATTCAGAACAAGCTTTCGATGAGATGCCTGAAAAGAACTTGGTAACGTTGAACTCACTGATCGGTGGATATGCTCATCAGGGTCAGGTCGATATGGCATTGGCGTTATTTGAAGAAATGTCACCACGAGGATGCAGTCCGGCTCCAAATTATATGACGTTTGTGTCTGTGCTTTCAGCCTGTAGTAGAGCAGGGGATGTGGAAAATGGTATGAAGACATTTGATTCGATGAAGAGTAGTTACGGCATTGAGCCAGGAGCTGAGCATTATTCATGCGTTGTGGACATGCTAGGGAGAGCTGGGATGGTGGAACGAGCATACGAATTCATCAAGAAAATGCCAATTCAACCGACAATCTCGGTTTGGGGCGCTCTTCAGAATGCTTGTAGGATGCATAGTAAGCCACATCTCGGGGTATTAGCAGCTGAGAACCTTTTTAAACTTGACCCTAAAGATTCAGGCAACCACGTTCTGCTTTCCAATACGTTTGCAGCAGCTGGGAGGTAAGTGATTCAAAGAAGCGCACAATACATTTTAAACTATTGAAGCTGGTATGATCGAACTATATTATAACCGATCTTTGATAGGTGGGATGAAGCTAACACCGTGAGAGAGGCTATGAAAGGCGTAGGGATCAAGAAAGGAACCGGGTACAGTTGGATCACAGTGAAGAACCAAGTCCATGCGTTTCAAGCTAAGGACAAATCACACAGAATGAGCAAAGAGATTCTGACAATGCTCACCAAGCTAAGCAATGAGATGGAGGCTGCAGGGTACAAGCCTGACCTGAAACTCTCACTTTACGATCTGGAGGAAGAGGAGAAAGCAGCAGAAGTCGCTCACCACAGTGAGAAACTAGCTCTAGCGCTTGGTTTGCTAACTTTACCACTCAGTGTTCCCATCAGGATCACTAAGAACCTTAGGATATGTGAAGATTGCCACAGCTTCTTCAAGTTTGTTTCTGGGAGTGTTAGGAGAGATATCATTGTCAGGGACAATAACCGGTTTCATCGTTTCAGAGATGGGACTTGTTCTTGTAAGGACTATTGGTAATGTTGTTAGTTTAGGTTAAAACATTTAATATCAAAGATTGTATTAAGATGGATCCAGCTACGTTATGAACATTGCGTACACTACGTGACAATACTCTTAAGACACAACGTTTGCATGTAAAAAAATAAGCATTACACATTGAAATTGAATTAGAAACTAAACGACCAAACATGTCTACTTTTCTAAGAAAGAAGCGGCATATCTGCTTCTCCTCCTTTGATGTTTTCTCACCGTCGATTCCTTCTTCTCCAAGTGGGCGATATAAACAAAACAAAAATTTTGGGTGCAAATTACAAGTAAACATATCTACTCTATTAAAATATAAAATATTTACATTCAAAAACACATTATATGTTATCAATTATAGTAAAAGACTATTTGACTTAAGTGAACATTTTCTTATGTTCATTTGTCTAATATACCCTTTAATCAAAATAAAAATTTTATTACAACAAACAACACATGTCCAAAAATCTCCAATTTTCCTTAAATCTAATTCCATTTTATTTTTTCTTTATCATCATCTTCATTTCCCTCTTCCATCTCTTGTTGAATCTTCTTCTTCATTAAAGTTGCAGATTTTTTCTGTAACAATAAATCATCTAACTAAAAATATAGTTTCCATTTATCTTTTTTTTCATCTTTCTTCTTTATCAATTCGTAGTTCTGAAAATAATAAATTCACCTCAAATGTTAATCTCATCCACATAATCATTCATCTGTAATTCTGATTCTTGGAACATCTGATAACTTCTCTTTTTATCCGTTCCATTTTTGTGGTGCTTTTCTTATTTGCTCTCCAAAAAAGATCAATAAATTAACTGGTGCAGCTTTAGCAACACATGTCCAAATCCTCATCTTTAGCCATTTTTAGCATCCTCCTTTCAAACTTCTAGCAAAAGAAATGCACGAATTATTTCAAAATCGCACATTTACTATACATGTCTTCATATCCACCAATATCATGTCCACAAATTTGTTTTCCATAAATCTACTATCCACAAAATTGTTGTCCAAAAATCTCATATCCACCGACCTCCTATTCAGCAACCTCATGTCCATGAATCTTTTATTCGTCTGTTTTTATTATGTTTTTGTGTATACCAGACATGTTTCGTGTTCCAAATATTCATGGATACAATGCTATTTTTAATAGTAAATCCGACGTTTCTCACATCCAAACCAACAAACATCAACAAAGGCATCCACTGTGTTACTAACAAAACCCCAATGTTTCTCAAATGAGTCATATCTCATTGTGTTATGCATTCCTCGTTTTTGGTTTATAAAACATGATATCATATGTTTCAAATTCACACATCTAAAACTTTTCCATCCACAACAATTTCATCCAAAACTCTCTCATCCACAACAATGTCATCCATAATTCACCATCCACATTTCACCATCCATTAATATGTTCATGAAATTTAGATTTTGAAAAATAAAATTTATATATACATATGGATATCAAAATAAAAAATACTATATATTATTATAAATATATTTATATATTCTATACATATATATGAAATAAAGGTTAACAAAATATGTGGGATGGAAACTTGGTTTTTAATGAAAGGAAAATATAAAAAAGAAAAAGAAATGATTAGTATGGATAGAACGAAAACAATTATGATCTAATCAAGTGGCTCAGATTTAATTATACACTTTAAACCTTAGATGCAAATGCTAACTAAATATCTTCACTAATTTGCATTTAAGTTGATTCTTTAAAACAATACAAGGGCATTTTTGTCTCATAAAATGCCTGCCGTACATACAAAGTGCTTCAAATTCATAATGTGTCTTCATATGAAAGGAAAACACATATGGGTCATGTAGTGTAACATTCTCTTAAAATAGAGTCATTGTTTTTATCTACCATTAGATAGTTTTAGTAGGACCATTTATTTACAAGTCTAACAAATATAAATATCATGTAAAATCGCATCTTCTTATGTTGCACTTTTTATTTGTCTTTTATCTATACCACGCATAGATAGTATAGTTATATATTTACTTAATACATTTCAACTATGTCATATGTATTAGAAAATTACATACTACTTTTTTCTTTTTGTACAAAAATAAAGTTATTAATATATGTTAAACTTTTTATTCTACAACTATATATTTTAAGAAATAATAATTTAAAGAAGTTTTAATTTGATTATTTTAGATTATAAATTTATTTGTATCAAACTCGAAAATGTAATAAAAATTAATGAAAAGTAAAATATATCAAATAAATCACTATATCTTAATAATGTAATAAGAAATATAAGAAAAAAAAATAAAGAGTTACATAATATATAATACTAAAATATAAAAATATTTATGATAATATCAAAATTAAAAATTTATAAAATAAAAAATATATCCGTACGAAGGTGCGGGTCAAACTCTAGTATACTGTTAAACCAGAATCCCTCATAGGGTTATGTTCTTAACTATTTAAATAAATTACAATGGCATGCCATCTATTAATGTAAATACTTTTCTATATATAAAGAAAATCACCTAAATAGATACATTCCTACAATTATGGCATCTTTTTATTCTTCAATCAATTGCTTAATTCTTGAAATTAGTTATAGGCAACAATACATATCATTTATGTAACTGATTGTGCACATAAATATATATCATACGATTTTTCAAATAGGGTTACATGATTTTTGCATATCAAAAATAGATCCAAAAATATAAAATTTAACTACAAATTTTATGTTATATAATTATATATTTAAAATAGACAATCCCACACTTTCAAAACATTTATGAAAATTCTTTAATAATAAAGTTGGCTTTTTTCATTCCTTGGGGGGGGGGGAATTAATACACTTGTCACATTCTTATTCGTTGATTTTTTTTAATGGGTTTTGGGCTTCTATAGAAATTTTTAAAAAAATTTAAACGGGTTTGGTCTGCTACACAATGTTTAATATGTTTTGTTAAGAGGTGCAGTGAATCGTCTTCTTCGCTGTGCATTCATCCACATCCGACCAAAGTTATAGAGGCCATAGTCAGACGGTCGCTTCTTTGTAACGCCTCGAGGTCGCATTGACCCACTCTCCCCACTCTTAAGCATTCAATTGAGTTTATCCCCTCCCTAGAGTAACCATGAAAAACTCATACTATAAATATCTCCACACAAAGGATTCGGTTGAGATTCACCAGCAGTTAAGAAGCGTTATGGACTGGATCAGCTCCCGCAAAATCAAAACTCTAAAGCTCACAGATGTTCTTTTAAACTTCCCCAATATCTTAGTAGTAATGTGCTCTTCTTCTGCCTTTACCCCATTGAAAACATAACCAGATTCTTGCATATTAATTTCATACCGTTTTAAGCTACTCTATTTATTATTTCACTGATTGTAGGTAAATCAAATTTTAATGAAAGTTACTCACAAAAAAGACCCTTGAAACATCTAAGATGAAATATAAAACTTGAGAATCTATCTTCCTCCTTTAACTGATCACTTCCTAACTTTCACAAATCACGGACCAGCTGGACAAAAACCATATTCTTTCTAAAACAGGATAGGATGCATACATCAAAAACGGAAATGAGGTATATAGTAAATCATTTTCTACTGATTTAATTTTTGTTCTCTTTGTTTTTTTATTATCTTCACCATCAACTAAAACCTAAATATACACCATGAAACAAATTCAAGTTTGTGAAAAATGGATATGATGGTAAAGTACTAAAACTGCTCCAAAATAGGGGAGAGCTCCAACTCCTTAAGACTACATGTACATGAAAGTGTGAGACTCTGGCTTCTTACTAGGTTTAATACACAAGCAAACATGATTGATATATAAAGATGGTGCTAGAGTGCATTACTGATTCACTTTTTTTTGTTAAGCTTTGTACCATTAGATGCAATATGTAACCACTGACCATTATAGAGATTCACGACATGTTGGATGGTGAAGTGATATCACTCAAATGTTTAACCCTAAGAAGTGAATTACTCTCTCAAATAAGAGGTTCAATTGTAGTACTTAGGGATCGAATCCACAAGGAACTAGAGTCACAAAAGATATAATCCTAAGTGATTAAGCTAGGTTGATTAGGTTTAAAAACAATAAATAAAAGTTGTGAGCAATGGTAAATTGCTAAAGAGAATGGGTTTTGGGTTTTAAAACAATAAAGAAAGTAGCTAGATTCAAGGTTACTATTCAGAAAATTAGGATTATAAATCTATGGATGTCTTAACGAGTTGCTTGCAAATATATGAGAACTTCAATCCTTAGACAAATATATAGCTGTCGCTAGTTAGACTTGTCCATTGATCTGATTGCCGACAGTATCGATCGATGTTGCTATCACAGTGTCGATCGATATATGTTGCCGTCGATCGATTACTCTATAGGAGTATCGATCGATATAGAATCGGATCGAATTGAAACTATGTCCACCCGAGAATTTCTATTAGACCGCCTATCGCACGTGCCTAATAGAGTCTGAGCTTAGCCAAATGATTTCAGGATAATGACTATTAGATTAGTCACTCCATAATCATACTTCTAGGTAGCAAATCTAGAGTAAGCATTAGGGTTCATTTGGATAATGAATATAACAACTCAACACTCCATAGTTGGGGCTAATCCCTCANTCTGAGCTTAGCCAAATGATTTCAGGATAATGACTATTAGATTAGTCACTCCATAATCATACTTCTAGGTAGCAAATCTAGAGTAAGCATTAGGGTTCATTTGGATAATGAATATAACAACTCAACACTCCATAGTTGGGGCTAATCCCTCATAACTATTTGAACCCTAAATCTAACAAATGAATCTACTCAGACATAGTCAAGTGATTCATAGCAAAAGAATAAGATGAAAAGAAAATACTTTATTCCTAAGTATAGAATAGTAAAAGATTACAAAAACTTAGATGTCTTGCTAAAGAACTTAAGCATAACTATAAATATGAGTACAATTAGGTTAAAAACTCGTCAG